AGACCAGCTGCCGCGTTCGTGCAACGAGCGTTCGAGTTATCGTACGTTCATCGATTCGTCGCTGGATTAGCAGCGAATGTCCATTATACGTTCGCGTGCGCGCGGCCAGCTCGTTAGCGGCCAACGACGACCTATAAAATTTATTATCCGGCTCGACGCTCGGCGCAATATCCCTGCGGGACGCGAATTTGTAATCGGAATTTCGCGTAACGCGGAAATTGCGACTGCGTTGTTTAAAGGGATTCGCCGCGACGCGACGCGACGCGACGCTCCATCGAACAGAAATGACAAACGCGTTTGTTAACGTTGATACATCGACGCTCGAGATAGCAGTTCGAAGAAAAAAAGAAAGAAAATATCACTGATTAATGGTGTCTTTGCACGCAAAGTAATCGAAGCGGATCGTTCATTGACCTAATTAAAAATTTATTTAATTAAATTAAAATTGAAATTTGGACAAACTTTCTTTGGAAAGTTTCAAACAGTCCTTTTCCACGAGTGTCGAAATAACGCTTATGAAAGCAATTATCAAAATTGTTACAAATTCCGTGGAACATTTCTATCAACGTTAATCCCCCATTGTTCCTCTGTTTCCGTGTTTCTCATCCAGCTCGTTTCGTCGTCGGGACGCGTCAAAGAAAACCGGGTCGGCGTGGAAATTATTCATGAACCGCGAAAGCTAGTTTCGCAAATTTTAATCCTATCGAAAACTACGAGCGGAAAGTTTTTATTTTTTTATTTTTTTGTACATCTTGCAAGCGTGGTCTGAGCCAGAGCAGAGCGTCAGCTGCAGCCGCGCGTTTTTCCCCTCTGGAAAATGCATGGTAATAAGGTACGTGCCAATCGAGCGCGGCGAGGAAACGATTTATAGACGACAGCTCGGTATCGCCAATAACAATCGTGACGAACGACCGTTAATCTGTTAACCGAATCGTTTTCCTTCTGTTCCTGTAATAAATAATGCCAATAATCATTTTATTACCTGTTAAGTTACCACTATCACAGTTATTCCGGGATATGAAAAATCGCAATCGTCCTTATCGGGAACTTGCAATGAAAAGAAGCAACCTCATTCGAGCAATCAAAGAAACTGCTGATTAATCTCGAAGGGAGATTAGATTATACTTGTTTATTTAGAAAATAAAAAAAAGGAATGATTATCAAGAGTGTCGAGCGTTGAGAAAGTTCTTGTAACGAGTAAGGACGTTGTTGCGAAATCAAGCTGGAAGGTGATTGAATATTCATAAGGAGAGGGTTCTACACTCTCTCCTTTTCCCCTCTATCTCTCCCTAGTTGTCGTTCCTCTTTCCAGTCGTTCTCTCGAAACGGAGCTTAAACCTGACGTTGCCACCTGATACGAACCGTGCACTGACAAACCAGTGAAACGCGTTACAAAGGACCTCTTCTGAAATCAGACACGTCCTAATGTTCGGTCGTTCGATGGTCTGTTAACACTTTGTTCATCGAGTCTCTAACGTGAGCCATGTTTGATAAAGAAGATATTAGAAGCGGTTTATATCTAAAAATCCCTAACAATGTTAAGTGTAATAAATGAAGTGGTGAAATTCTGAAGAAATGAAAATTTTCGATGACGCGATGCTAAGAACGAAGAAGCGAAAAACTGGTAGCGTAGAAATATTAGATTATCGCGCTATAAATTCTGCCTACGTTGCTCAATAAATTCCAGCTCGTCGCTAATAAAGACACGGGATGCCGTTACACGCGACTACATCGCTCTCGTGAAACGTCACAAGAGCGAACACGTTAGCATTCACGGTTCGTACGCGCCGCGTATTTGATCACCGTTCGATATCGACGTCCGCAAATACTCGTATCGATGTTCCAACAAAGGACAAAGGTATTCCTCGACACAAGAGAAGATGAAAAGACGACGCGAGAATGAATGGGAAGGATCGACGAATGGTTGGTTTTACCTATCGTTGCACACCAGGCCACTTCGCCTACGGTTTCGGTGACGGGCGAGCTTTAGCGGCGATGAAACGGCGAATAAATTTATTCTGTGTAACGCGAGGAAAATGCTACCAACCTTGCTCGCACGTTTCCCTCAACACGGCGAAACTTTATCGGTCAATCTTGGAAAATAACGACGGAAACTCCTCGACTGGATCAGAATTTTCTTCGGAGGTGCACTGTCGAGGTGCATGGAAATCTTGCGGGGTATTTGTTCTCGTTACTGGAAATGCGGAAAAGTAACGTTTCAAAATTTAACTCGACGATGGTCGGATGAAATTTTCTTCGGAAAAGTATTAGGTTCTATTAGAATTTAATTTTCCTTCTCTTAATCCAACTTAGAATTTTTAGGAAAATTCTAATTATAATTTGCCCAGTCAAGAATCCTAAAATGCCTATACATGATATTTTAATTTTCTTAATTTGAAACAGCTATCAAAAAAATCATAGCAGAAAGGGTTAATAGAAGAGTTGTGAGTTGATGTTCTCGAAAGAAATTTCTCGGCTCCTTCTCTTCCGCTCGAAATCCAGCCGTTAAACGAGCGGCCGCGGAACGGGCCCGTATTTCGCCGGCTCCGTGCGGGAATTTCAGCGGGCGAAAGGTGGCGAACGAGGAGCTGGTTCGTCGTTTTCGTGTCACGAATTCGGAAGTCGGTTGCCACCCCTTGGGGATTCGCTCGCCTTTCTGGATACGAGGGAACAGAGGACCGTCGTACCATCGTTTAAGCCCCTAGCTGGCAGACAGAGACACTCGGAATTCCGGCTTGAAAGGTCGCCAAGTTTGCACGGCCTCGCGTTCTTCTTCTCGCCACTTCTCGCATTCGAGGAACAACGTACATACGTGGCATGTGCGAAATTGCTCGGAAACTCTAGCAATAAGTCGACCGCTTCTGCCCTCCAACCGGGACATTCTTTTTCCTATTCTTTTATTTCTTTTTTTTTCATTTTCAACCGACTCCTCGATTCACGTTTTCCATTGATTTTAAATGAAAAATCGAGGGGGAACGATAATTTAACATTTTTCTTCTCATTATCCAATCGTTAATTAACACAAGCCCTTACGAATTTCACACTCGCGCGACATTCTTGTGGTTACGGTCGGCTATATAAAATCCGGAAGCGTGATCAAACGTTTCAAAAAGCTTCCGTATAAAAGTTTATCTAGCGTTTGAATGTATTTGCTCGGGTCATCCCTGCCCGGGACATTATGATCCCACGGACTCAGCGGAACGGGATCGTAAAAAGGACCACTTCGAGCCCCGTCAAGTTTGCTTCTGGTTCACGTTCACCTGAATTTCTCAGCGAGATGGACATTTAACTGGCAAATGACCGATGTAGATTCTAAACGTCCATAAGAAACCACGAGAACTTCTTTCGAATACAAGTGGCAGCTTTTGAAAACCTTTTCTCAACTAAAGTTTCTGACCTGTTCTTTTTTCTGTTCTCTCTACGTACATCGGTAAATTAACATTTTAATCGTCGGAATAATACAGTCGGACGGCTTTTGATGGAATTACATTTCTTTGAAAAAAAAAAAAAATATATATATATATATACACGCTCTTCACCGTTGTTTGTCTTATAAACAAAGTATTCCCGTAATCCCAGTTTTCCTGCATTATTTCGTTCCCTTCATTCGTTCCTCTCACTTCCAGCTGACGTTTTACTCTTTCTCTCTGCCCACCGTCATCCTCCACTCGCTTACCACCTATTTACGTTTCAAATAACCTTTTATACGCTCACGTCCCTCGTTCCTCGTCGAGCGGCTCTCCTTCCAGACGGGAATAAAGACTTTATTCTATTCCGTTTCATTTTATCCCGCGATCGTTCCTGCCACGTCCCGGGACCGGCGTGTTCACGTACACGCAGCAACACGTGCGTGGGACGACGATTCAGGTAGATTATCGGCCGGTCGAACAGGTTACGAAAAGGTGCGCTGTCGAACGGTGGGGCGGCTCGATCGGAATTGCTAATTAGGCGCGTGTAAAATTACTGTAAATCGACGAGCCGACTATTACCGTAAACAGGCTATCCTATATGGGAATATTTCACCCTCCAAGAGGGGAGACATCTTAGCGATTTTCACTTGAAAAAAAGGGAAGTTCACTCTTCGTTGTGTAACACGATTTAAGAAGCTGCGAGGATCCTGCGAGAGAGTATCGAGTAGAAGGTGAAAATTTATTTACACAAGCTGAAGCAGAAATTTCACGTAATAAAATCGGCCAGCATCAAGGTGATTGCTCGTTTCGAAGTATCTCTTCTCTGGATGCAACGATGCTCCTCTCTCACCTCGGACCGTCGAAGAGAATTTACGAACTCGATGCGAAGGAGAAACGAGCAAAATCGGCGCCTTCGCTAAATCGTTCGTACTGTATAATAAAACGCTTTTACAAGGAAATAAATTTATAACGAAAATTACGGTAATTGAAAGGCACGACGGTGGAGCGGATCGATGGCGATCGAAAGAGAGAAAGAGATGTAGATGGTCCGGGAACGATTTGTGGCCCCCGAAGGAACGGAACGGAACGAGCCACGTTGTAATTTCAAGCAAAGCCACGTGGAACGGTTGCGCTTGCGTTTCCCTTGCTAGCCGATATCAAGTACGAAACGTTCCGTTCTCCCGATTAAACTCCCATCTCCTCCTGCTTCCCTCCACTAATTCATACGCTGCCTGTGATATTCATGAATCTGAAATTCCGAACGTTTCGAATATTTAGTGCGACCGCGACCCCTTTCCTATCGGCCGAATCTCGTCTCCCTAATATTCCTCGTTCCGACAGAAATCGAAGCTTCTATGTTCGATCGAACTTTAATTCTGTTATCTTAATTTCAAGCGGAAAGGCAGGATCGTCCGTTAATCAGGGGATGTAATAACACAACCGTGTGTTCTGAAACGATTTTCATCTTTGTCTGGTGTCAAAGGTGCGAGGAAGGAATATTTGCTGTAAAGCCAGCGCGTAAAACGACGCATATGGAAACGGGTGATGCATAAAAGACAAACATAAAAGTCGGTGAAAAGAGGATCCTACCTGGTGTGGCTGCAGGGTGTCAGGGATGGGCCGTGGTGCTATTAGCCAGCCGTGCTTACGGGGCGCATAAGCGCAACCTCCACCTCCGAGCTACTCCGGCTTTGTCTCTGCATCCTGAAAAAGCGAGAAATAAGCGAAATGAGTTTTACGCCGTCGAGAATGTCGAAGTCGCGTAACCGGCCTCGCATTCGTTCTTCCGAGAATATTACGAAATTTGAATCACGTTTTATGAGACTGGGTCCACGAAGAGTTAAATTATTAATATTCTTTCTGGTATCGAGGATTTTCTATCGGATGTAAATACTCGAGGTTCGCTTTGAAATTCACGGCGGTCGAGCAGAGCTTTTTTATATTACGATGTCGCTTCTGCACACGGGCTGGGAAGTTTGATATTGAAAAAGCAAAAAAAAAAAAAAAAAAAACGAAGAGAAAGAAAAAAGAAAAATGAACGCAGTTGGGTGAGCATTGATGGACGAGAGAGTTGCGCCCAGCCCACGGGGCTCGGGGCGCATCGGTATTCGAGCGGCGTTCTGCGATTCAACGTCGATATGCGTTTTACTCTCGTCCGGCCTTGGTTACGTGCAGGAAGCAAGGAAAAACGAGCACAAATACATGGCCAGTGACGTCAATTTCGGTAGCCAACGTAGCGTAAAGGATCGAACAGAATCTTCGGAAATAGTTCCAATAGCTGTATAACATTTTTACCAATTTTCTGTGCCGAGGAGCAAACACCAATCTCGCGATCTTTTATCAACTCTTCAGTTACTCGAACGTAATCTTGGATCTTTGAAAAATAAAATCTGGATTAAACATTAACGTGTGTTCAATATCGATTCGTATTTACAGGCCGACGTAACGAATCGCTGAGTAACGCGCGAATTAACTCGGCCTCTATCGCGTGAAATATTTCCATCAGCCCTCCAACGGCGATATTTTCCATCGGTGAAACGTGATTAATCACCGATAACAATTAACGCTTTATTCGAGAACGCAAGTCAGCAAGCGCGGTGTTACACGAGTTCGTGTTTGCGCACGAGGCCATGTAACGGGCGGAGAAAGGGTGAGTTTGTTCGCCGCATCGGGAAAAAGTTTATATTGGATTTCATATTTAATGCATCGGCGAAGCCTGTTTCCCAGATAAATTATTTATGTCCGAACGTTTTGTCTTCGTCCGACAATGAGGGGCGAATCCGCATCAACGCAGGCAACGACGCAGAGAAAGAGAGAAGAAGAGGGTGAGAAAGGGAAAGGGACGAAACGGAGCAAGGGATGATTGTCGAAAGGTTGCGATAAGCCCTGAACCGAATAAAAACCGTCAATCTTCGGGGATGAAGATTTTCATCTTGTCGACTTGATGGGTCATCACTGTGGAAGAATGACGTTAAATGGCACGGAACGTCGACCCTTTTATCGCCAACTAACCTCGGAATTTTGCGAATTGAATACTTGAAAAATATTTGGAATATTAGATTATGATTTCCTTGATTGTAATTAGAATAATTGGATTCTTTCATTCTGACGATGTCAGGTCGAAAGAGTTAAGTACCAAACTATTAAGGAAACTAACCCTTCTTTTTTCCCAGAAAATGAGTCACCTAAAGATCTAACGAGCGGACATTCGACGTAATAAAATCTACACTCAAGCTGACGCAGATGCTCGTCGACGATGAATATACGAGCGACGATGACGTAAAATGTTCCAGGAGTTCGAAACTTTTCGAGATGTTAACTTACCGTGTACGGGCTCGCTGATATCGCCCTTAAAGCCGAACTTTCAAGTATCAAGAACATGAGAGAATAGAGAAATTCATAGTGGATGAAGGTCGTAAAAATTTCGAGAATACGTCGGTGAGAAGGTTTTAATCGTTTCACTGAAAAGGACTTCGACAAGATTCGCGAAGGGTTAATAGTTTCGTAACTGTCGTCCGTTTTTACCCTGCAATTTTCCGGCGGGAAATTAATCGTTTCTCTCTGTTAAAAATGACAACCATGAAAGGGGAATCGAGAGAATCGTCTCGATGTTGAATACGTTTTTAAGGTTTCACGGTGGCTCGGTGAGTCCCGTGATCGATGTCTTCTTCTCTAAAGAATTTGATATTCTTTGAAAATGCTGGAAATTACCTGGCACTGAATTTAATTTACTTCTTAATATCCTCGATCTATACTGTAAGATTATTAATAAGAAATCGCATAATTTTGATTAACTTGATACTTGGATTATTGAAATTAAATTACTAAAATTCTTAATTTTTTCCAAATTTCTATGAATATACTAAACATATTTCCTAACGATCAGACTTTCCCAGACCAAATTACAAGCTATCGAAGAATGATTTATAACTGTTCCATAAATAACTGTAAATCTTCATTTCCAATTCGGAACGGTGTCTCGCATAGACGGCGAGCGTATACCCCGAGCGTTCGACAAACTTTCTACTATTCATCTTCGTCCGTGAAACTTTTGTCACGCCAGGCTGAAATACGCTTCGATCCGCGTCCCGACGCAACCGATCGCCAGGAATCGTGCTCGGCATCGCGGTAACACGTGTTCCCGGAAACTACGAACGTGATCTAAACTCTCCGATAGGAATCAGCTGGCTACATGTGTTTATATTTTCTTGCCTCTCGAAAGTATTAAAAAAATTGCAATTTTTCACTTCCACATATACCTGGAATTATTATCAGAGTTTCGCGTTGAACGTTCATGTAACCATGGCTTGCCAGTAACTGTTAGTTAAGGTCGATTACTAAGTAGTCCCGGACATTCCAAGCAGCTCGAGGCCGGACGATAAACGGCCGCAACTACTTTCTCCCCGTGTCCGACCTGCTTGTTGCTGATTACGGTCTAGCAACGAGTAACCAAGCAGGATTATTACCACAGCGTAATCTTCATTGTCTTTACGCGAAGAATTATTTGAACGGCCCCTTGTGGCCGGTAAACGCTTGGCCGAAGCACGTTTCGTGGTCGACGAGGGAGGAAGAAAGAAAAAAATGAAAGTTTCTACGGTCGTTGAAAGGAGCAATGCAAATAAACTCAGGGTGGGATGTGTAATAACAACACCGGTAACACTGACCTAGAATATAAGTTAGATTTGCATTTATGTACCGCGCGAGGGTCAGTTTCCAGCGAGTTGTTTGTAAACTCTCTACAATGTAAACGATGTTAACGATTGTTTAAGGTCTGATACCGGAAAGAAGCGTTGCAACGGAGGCGAGAAAAATAGGAAGATGGAAGGATGAAAGAAGGAGGAAATAGGTCAGGGGGCAGAGGTCAGGCGCAGAAAAGAAAACGGTCATGGCTGCCTTTAGCCCTCCTTTCGATCGATCAGCACGAGCCCTCGTTCTCCCTTTCGTCTTTCCTTTCGCGCTCGATTTATCATTCGAGATTCGCAGAGCCGCGGCAGAACGTACGCCGAAATGGTTATCGTCGATCACGAAAACGTATTACGGATTCGGCTAATCGGTGCTTTGGATCGATGAATCGGCACGCGAAACATCGAACGATAAACGGGAAACGGAAGGATTTTATTCGTGGCACGATTTTTCATCGAATATACTTCATCCTCCGTTCTGACTCTCTATTATAGTAATTTAAAAGGAATTTTCTGGTAAATGGACAGAGAATAAATGTGACGCTGACTTTTTGTTAATCCACTTGCAGTAGAAATGAATATATACGTTCTCTTTCATTATCGTGGAAACAGATACACAGAGAATATCGTGTTATCAGGATACTAATACTGTTCAAAATTGACCCAGAAATTCTAGATGATATTAATAAAATATAACACTATCAAATATAAAATTTTGTGTTTGAATTTCTACTAAAAAAAAAAAAAACAAGAAACGAGTTCACGCGCAGTCTATTGGCAAGTTTCGTCGTTCCGTTCCGTTGGACGATTCAACGGAAGTTGGCCAATTGAATTTCGCTCGGGAAGGCCAGAATCGCGTTTGCCCCGCGAATACCAGCCTCGACTTGCAAGAAGATCGTCGCGGTGAATGTAAATTGTAAATTGTAAGATGACGATGGCGTGTATCCGGTGGAAAGGAAGCTTTAGTCGTTGGTCCGTGCTGTCGCTTTCGGCTGCGACCAATTAACGCCGTGCCATCGACGAACTCTCGAGCGACGCGCGGGTTCGTTATCGTCGAGTTAAGTCCGCGCAAAGACCTCGTTTTCAGCGAGACCAAGAGCGAGATGAACGATGCCAAGTGGCCGAGTGAAACGGCACTCGCCGCTCGCGGCAATTAGCGAGAGGATTCAGACATTAAACAACCTAACGTCGGCACGATAATTAAACCATTTGTATCGTTAAGAAACTAGCAAAAATTTTATCCGTATCACTGAATTCCACTTCGCTCTTAGATCAATTGTACAACGAGTGATCCAACTAAGATATCCATCAAATTTCAATTCTAAATCGAAACCAGCGACACTTCTGTCGTTGCACGGGACGTACAATAGCGTTCAATGATACCTCGAGCAACAACTTGTCGGTCGATCGAGAGTCTCGATAAATCGTCGCGACAGCCTTGAAAACTCCTCCGCTTCGTTTCCTCGTGCACAATTCAAAGCGACGCCGTTCCTCGTTCTATTTGCATACCTATTTCCTTCGTTGTATAATAGCGTTTCGTGATACGCCGTTATAATTCTCCGCGAGAAATCGACGAAATAAAGAATACCGTTCTAACGCGGCTTCTTCGCCCATCCTATTGGATCTTCCCGTTATCTCTGGCTCGATCATTTTTATCGCAGCTGTTATTTATAAGCGCCATTTTAGGGAACGCGAAAAATTGAAGTGACAAACGAGGGCGAATAGAGTTAAGAAAATGAAGACCTCCGTGTGTGACTGTGCTCAAAGGATCAGCAGAGCGGATTCACCTGGTTCAATAAATAACGTGTAACATACCGTTAATAAAATGACTTTTAGTTGGACGCTCGTTCGACACCGGGATTTACCGAGGCCTTCTACGCGCCCGTTCCGATGATAATTTCCAGTATAATTTTGGAGCGTCGTTGAACAGGCATTGCGCGGCGGTTTCTGGCATGGATTGGCTCCGGCGCGGTCGCATCGACCAGCATTTTGATACATGGCTTGGCCAAATCGTATTCAACA